CTGACAGCTAGAGCAGAAGCAGAGAAAAGGAGGCACCATGCCCAAGGAGGACCTGTGTGCCCAAGTGTATGCTTTGCCTAAATAAGGGAGCTACCAGACACTTCCTGTTGGATTAGGAGCCTAGAAAGTGCTCCACCTGTGGCAGAGGTGGGTACATAGGTAGGCAGGTAGGTGAGTGGGTGCTGGATGGATGGGAGAACACTGGTAGAACCCAAACCCAAGGGAAAGAAAGGCCATTCTCGAGAAGACAACTCCCAGCAGCTCTGTCCACAGGGCACAAATAGAGTATTATAATCCCAACAGTTTTTCTGGACAGCATCCGGCCATGCCAAATAGGTGATTATTTCACCCTATCATTTGCTTTTAGCTCGAGATGGCATTCCCCCAAAATCACAGAACCAGGAGTTTGGGGCTGTCACTATTTCTACTGGTGAGAGCCAACCCGGATCAGTGCAGTCTGAGTAACAGCAAAATAACGCCCCAGAGAATTGAGCCAAATGCTCTTGTACTGTACCTAGACCTGGGGGCAGGTGGGATGTACAGTGCCAAATTCTCAGTAGGGCTGAGGCTTTCTGGCTGATTGCCACAGTCAGGGGTGGGGAATACTTCAGGCTCCCTGAATTCATTTCTACCCAAAAGAAAGTTTGAAAAGCTCTCCATCTCGAAAAATAGTCCTTTTCAATGATTGTCCAAAAAATACATTCAAGGGTGATTATACCCACTCACCTGGCGGAGCAGAACCAGTCTTTTATCTCTTGTCTCATCTTGGAAACTGTGTTGGTGTCTAGGGGAGGAACCCATGACAATAGTCTGTCAAGCCTTTTGAGAACTCATGGGATTCCTCTCGGTCTCTCTGAGAGACCAGCACAGCGATCTTCTCACCACAGAACTTTTAAAAAAACAAAAAAATCTAAAAAGTCAGGCTGGGGGGGAAAACAAAACAACAACAACAACACATCTTTTTCCAGAAACCTCCCCCGACAGATGAACTTCCCCTGACTGTATCAGCACTTCCCCAATACTGTAGGGTTCACTATTTGGCACTGGTTGGCAGCCCACTTTGTAGAATTTGGGGCACCTCGCACTGACATGCATGATGGAGGGGGAGCTGCAGTTCATTCTGTTACTGCCATCCCCCCACAGCGCCTGCAACAGCGTCCTGTTCACACAAGTGACTCAACTCCTGATCGCTAAACAACCAATTTCATTACTAATTTCCGAGACAGCTCTGGGAGGGGAGGCAAAGGACCGATAGAATTAATAGACAGGGGATCCCTGGGTGGCTCAGTGGTTTAGTGCCTGCCTTCAGCCCAGGGCCTGACCCTGGAGTCCCGGGATCGAGTCCCACATCGGGCTCCCTGCATGGAGCCTGCTTCTCCCCCTGTCTGTGCCTCTGCTTCTCTGTGTGTGTGTCTCTCATGAATGAATAAATAAAATCTTAAAAAAAAAAAAAGAATTACTAGACGGACTTGACAAATTTCTTTGCTCTGACAAAGAGGGCTGTGGAACAAAGCGCCTCCGAGCCTGAGCCCGATTATAGAAGCCGCACAGCAGCCCTGCTGGTTCCCTCTGCATACACCTGTTTGCTCATGTCCTGAAACTGCCACCCAAACATTCCTTCCTGTCACTGAGCCGCTTGCACTTTCAAATGCTTCTAAAATAGAAGCAGAGTCGGAAGGGCATGTCCATCAATAGAGCCCCCAGCCCCTCTCCCAAGGTCTCCAAATGCCTTTCATGGAATCAGAATCTGAGTTGAAAAGAATTTTGGCGCGCATCGAGTTCCAACTCGGCCTGGCTCATGAGTCCCACGGAAAACATCTCCAATATGTGCTCATCTGTCCTTTGATTTAACACCGCTTCTGACAAAGAGCCAACTGCCTCCTGACAGCCATTCCATTTCAGAGCCCTAATTGTTAGAATATTCTTCCTTGGGTTGAGCTGAAATCTGCCTGTTGTAACTACTACCCATAGGTTATAATTTTGCCCTCTGGAGCCACGTAAAATACATCTCAATGCCTGTTCCACGGGACAATCCTTTAAGGGGCTGAAGACAATATTCTTCACAATTCATCCCAATCAGAACCTTATTGTATGATGCTCGGATGAACTGGGAAGTGCACTTTCCTGTCCAACAGGTTCGGGAGCCTCCCTCCGGCAGAGCCCGAAGGTGACATATGACCATACTTTATTTACCGGCAGACAGACAGAGCCCCTTGTTCCTTAGCTGCTAACAACCCGAGGTTGTTCATCACCCACTTGCTCCTTTTTGAAATTCACTCTGCAGCAAGCACTTTTTAAAGTCGTGCACGTAATGCATTTTAAACAGCATTTTCTGCACAGATCCATTTGCTCGACCTCGGCCCTAAGTGCGAGATGGAGCAGTATTTCAGTGTGGTCCTGCTGCTCCTCCCGGAGACTATGCGGAATGTATGTGTAACTATACAGGACCGGGGCTCTAAAATGCAGTGTTTTGTTAAATGTTCATTTGCTGATTAAAATGCATCTTGCAAAGAAAGTGCATTACTAATGCAGAATCTAGTCCAAAAGTACGTATTATGTAATGCACATTTGTTAATAATGCAGGCAATCTCGGTGTATCTATATTAGTGGATCAGCTCGGGGCTGCCATCTCCATTATAGGCATAAAGCACTCCTTCTGAAAAACGAAGTACTTTCTTATGAACACTAAAGAATCATAATCCACCTTGTTGCTGACAGCTGGCATTCGTCTCCATTGAAAGGGCATTCACCAGCACCCACATATTACTGATTTTTTTCCCCAACGTGCCTTGAAAATCCCTTGAACGACGTCTTTATGCTCCATGCACTGTCAGTGGGGCTGTGCTAACTGAAAGAAATAAAGCAGGTGGGTCAATGTGAGCAAAACCTTCAGAGATGTCCCTCCTTGATGGAGGCAGAGAGATATGGATTTGAGGTATGCAGGACCCAACAGCCCATCCAGTGCCCCCTACTAATAATCACATGATGACTGGAACCAGGCTCTTGTGATGAGACCCTTTCAGTTCCTTTGCAAAGTGTGACAGTAGGCACAACTAGAATACAGACGTTTGTCCTTTTATGGGGTTTGCCAAATCAACCCTACTTTCTTAGACCAATCAGTATTTTAATGCCACAAAAGAACTCAAAAGAACACAAGAGGAAAGACAGACACAGCCAAGAAGCCGAGTCAGGAACATTCAAGAACATCCACAGCCAAGATGCAGAAATAAAAAAAATAAACCCTCAGCACATCAAAAGCAGTTGCTAGAATCTTGCTAAGGTCTGGTCTACACTCTGGTTTTGACAGCTGCATGTAAGCATGGTGTTGAAGGTATGAGGACAAGTTCCACCATGCCAGGTAATGGCTGTAGGCACAGGACTCTTTAGCCTCCAAGAAGGGGGTACCAGGAGCAAAAGCCTGGTGGGTGACCTCAAAAAGGAAAGCAGAATTGTGAGGTCATGCCTCTCCAGATTTCCCCCATGTGTTCCAAGTGGAGCAACTTTGTTGACATGTCCAAGAATTCTAGGAAGACGGTGTGGCTCTGAATTAGGCAACTACCTTTGGACTTGCCACCATGGCAAAAGGGCCACTCCATACTCTAACAGGGAAGGCGTCATATACAACCCAGAAGCAGCAGTCAGGTTATAGACGGAACTCAAGAGCTTTCCGAGGACCATGCTTCCCTGAGCTAAGATCACTCCAGGGATCCCCCTTCAGGAGGACATGGAGCTCATTTGATTTTCCAGGGCTGAGAAAGAGAGGTACTAATTTCCTCCAACCTTTCAGCCTCCGGGGTTCAACGTGGTCTAGGAACATCTAGCCACATCACCTAACCCTAATGCTCTGATGGACCCAATAGTTTTCTCAGAGAATTAAAGACGGATTAAATATTGGTGGGCAGGGAGGAATTCAGAGTGGTTTAACGCTCTGATTAACAGCCGATTAGTCCTAAATGGGCTTTCCTTAATGTAAGTTTCTTTTCTTCATTTTTAACTTCATCTTCAGCACCTGGAACAGGGCTTGGCATGTGCCAGGCACTGAATAAATATTCACTGAATTAACTAGCTTTGTTGAAAACCTATCTGTGTATGAAATGAAAGCGCTTTAAGGGGTACCCCGTGAGATTTCCTTGATGGCTAACCGGCCTGCAGCGCCCCACAGGGGTAGAGAATGGGCTGTACCTACTGAATATCAGGGCAGGCAAGATTTGCCTTAACTAGTGGTTCCAGCTAATTAGAGTCTGTCTTCCAGCAGCACATGTTCTCAGCTAGAGCTCATGGCAGCCCACCGATGGGTTTGTGGACTTGCAAACCATCACCCTGTCTGTGGGGCCCTTCCTAGGAACGGTGCTTACTTGTCCGCGAGGTAATTAGCCAATTGAGACTACAGGGGGGTGCGGGGGATATTTTTCGGAAACGCTCTAATTACAGTCACTATAAGGGATCTGCCAAAGGTGGTTTCGTGATTAATGACTGCCTGAGGTTACCATCCTCAAACTATTAAGCCCCTGGAACTCGCCCGGGGCTGGATCATTAATACCCACGCACAGACCCCCCCCCCCCCCCGTTTCATTCCGCCTAGTATCTGCGATTTTGCGGTCTGGTCTTTTGGCTTCGTTTTACCGATAAGCCTGGAGTTGGGAAGGTGTATGGACCCCACGGAGAACCGGACCTATGCCCGGCTGCCCGAGTACCCTAACCTGTGGCTAGCTCGCTCACTTGTTTTGCTCCTTGGCACCCGCCAGGCCCCCCCGCCCCTCGATTCGCCCAAGTCGCCCAAATCGTTTCAAACAAGGTTCCCTCCTGCCACCTGCCGGCCCACTAGGGTCTGCGCCACGGGCTCGGCGCCACGGCGCAGCTCGCGGGGAGGCGCCCCCGCCTCCCTACTGCACATGCCCGGCAGAAGTCCGGGCGCGCAACTTTGCAGAACCTCTCCGCCGCGTCCCTCCCGCCTCAGTCTCCTCTTTCCTCTCCCAGGCGAGAGGACCAGCGGAGGCACCTCTCCCGAGTCTTAGGCCGCAGAGTCTGAGACTTAGAGAGAGGAGCCCCGGGGGAGGAAGACTTTTTCTCCCCTTACCCATCCCTTCTTGCTCAGAGAGGCAAGCAGAGGAGCGGAGCTTTAGAAAGTTGAGTGATCAGGAAGGTAGGTGCTTCCTTTTCTTCCCCCCGCACAGCGAGGTGGGGCTGGGACCTCCGGACCCAGCTTCTCACCTCGTGGGGTGCACCTCTGTCGGCTCCAGCAGCCAATGCGCATCGGAGCCCCGCTCTGCAGAGCCAGAGGGCGGGTGGTCTTCTCGGTGTGCGCCTAAGAGAATGGATCGTAGGTCCCGGGCTCAGCAGTGGCGCCGAGCTCGCCACAACTACAACGATCTGTGCCCACCCATCGGCCGCCGGGCAGCCACCGCGCTCCTCTGGCTCTCCTGCTCCATCGCGCTCCTCCGCGCCCTCGCCACCTCCAACGCCCGCGCCCAGCAGCGCGCGGCCGCCCAGCAGCGCCGGAGCTTCCTTAACGCCCACCACCGCTCCGGCGCCCAGGTGTTCCCCGAGCCCCCCGAGTCGGACCACGAGCACGAGGAGGCCGACCTCGAGCTGTCCCTCCCCGAGTGCCTAGAGTACGAGGAAGAGTTTGACTACGAATCTGAGACCGAGACGGAGACCGAGTCTGAAATCGAATCCGAGACCGACTTCGAGACCGAGCCTGAGACCGCCCCCGCCACTGAGCCTGAGACCGAGCCAGAAGACGAGCGCGGCCCCGTGGTGCCCAAGCACACCAGCTTCGGCCAATCTCTCACCGAGCGTCTGCACGCTCTAAGATTGCGGAGCCCCGACGCCTCCCCGAGTCGCGCGCAGCCCAGCACTCAGGAGCCCCAGAACCCCAGGGAGGGGGAGGAGCCCGAGCCCAAGCCCGAGGACAAGGATCCGAGGGACCCCGAAGAGTCCGAGGAGCCAAAGGAGAAGAAGCAGCAGCGCCGCTGCAAGCCGAAGAAGCCCACCCGCCGCGACCCGTCCCCGGAGTCCCCTTCCAAAAGGGGACCCATCCCCATCCGGCGTCACTAATGGAGGACGCGGTCCAGATTCTCCTTGTTTTCTTTGATTCAGGTTAGTTGCCCGCCGCCGAGCCCGGGAGCCCGGGAGCCCGGGGTCGGGGCGGGGGCTGCGGGCGGGAGGGAGGAAGGAAGGGGGAGGGAAGGGCAGGGGGCCCGGCTGGCCTGTCCGGGAGGCGGGGGCCAGGGCGAGCTGGGGAAGGCTCCTCGGGGCGCCGGGAGCGCCCAGGTGGCCGAGGGGCTGTTGGACGACCGGGCGCTCCGCGCGCCCCACGCGCCCCGCTGGAGACAGCCTGAGGTCTCCGAGCTGGGGTCCAGGACGCCGGCGGAAGCCCCGGCGCGCCCCGGGTTTCGAGCTGCACACCCACAAGGCACAGGTAAGTCACCTGTTTTACACACTTTTTTTTCTAACTAAACACTAGCCTCCGGCCAGGTGGCCTCGGCAGGCGCCCGAAACGTGGTTCTGAGGTGCGCGCGCCAACTTTGCCCGGGAGAGCCGCCGCGCCGTAGCGACACTGTTGCAACGTGCGCAGAGCAACCGCGCTGGGATTGGGCAACTCCCGGGACTGGCGGCTCCGGGGAAAGTCGCGCGCCGCGCCGCGCACGCTTTAAGGCGCTCGGAGCCCGGAGCCCGGAGCCCGGGTCCCAGCGCTGCCAGTCTGGAGCCGCGGGACCTCGGCGCCAGTGCTCCCCGCGGCCGTGCGCCAGTCCTGGCTGCCGCCGCCGCCCGCCGGCGCGCGTGGGGCCGGAGCCCGCCGCAAGGAGCGTGCGCACCTGCCTGCGCGCTCCGGAGCCGACCTCTCCAGGGCGGCCGGCAGCTCCCCGCGACTCACGCGTACCTGGAGGGCTGGCAGAGAAGGTACGGGAGTCTTAGGGGGTGCCCCCACAGGCTACCGGGGTGGGTGGCGCGGGCTTGGTCACGTCGGGGCATCGCTAAAGCGTTTTGGCGCAGCTGATCTGGCGGCGGGGCCGGGTGCAGCTTGGCTGGAGAGGTCTGGGGCTGTTTGCGCAAGGTCCTGGGGATGGAAGGGGGGCCAAGCGGCCCGCGAGGCGGTGCCGGGAGGAAAGGTAAAGCGGCACAAGAAACGGGGCTGGAGAGGGGATGGCATCTTTCACCGGGATACCCTACACCGCGTCCCCAAACCGCGCGGCACCGCCGAGCTGGGGAAGGGCGTTGGATCGGACGCGAGTCCTTGGGCGACTGGTCGAGAGGGGGCAGGGGCCGGCGGCTTGGGCCGCCTCGGGGAGGGGAGGCGGCGCTCCGGCCATTTTCAGCTCGGGTGGAGCTAAGTTTGGTATCTGTAACCTGGAGGTGAAGCCGCCCTGTGGCCAGAGGACAGAAACCGCGGCGGCCCCGTAACGCGTCTTCAGTGCGTAAAGTGTGCCTTACTGCCGACCCTGGAGGAGAAGACGGATAGAGTGAAATAGATTTTACAAAACCCACCTGATGTGGCAATTGATCTTTTCTTGGTGCGCGTCGTGGTTTGCGCCGGTTTGAGCTAGTCTGATGGGAATGATGAGATGGGGGGGAGGGGGGCGCGTTTTGAGGCTTGAAAAGATAAGATCGGTCGGTTTTATAGACTCAAGTAAAGGATGAGGGGTGAGGCCAGAAGGCACACACTTGCCACGGTCTTCCTTCCAGGTCTCCTCCATAGGAACCGCCACACGGTGCCCCCAACTTGGTTTGCCGGCTGCGGCGCTGACTAACGCCCGTTGGATGCCTTTACGGTCTTAACTGGGAAGAACAGGTCTTCACTAGGAAGGACCCGGGAGGCTCTTGATGAGCAGAGGCTTCCTTGGGCAGCGGGCAAGTGTCACAAGTCTTAGGCTCCTGAGGACTTGCCGAAGGGCCAGGCGTGCCCTGCCTTTGGCTCAAATGTGTGAAATTGCCTAAGTGGGATGGAGCTCCCCAAAGTTGGAATTTCTAGTCCGGGTAAACAGTCATGGCTGTGGTTCCTTTCTGTGGCATTAAGTGTTGTTTTTCCTCTGGGGACGTCTTACCAGCCTGAGTTCAAGTAAAATGTGTCTAGTCAATGTGCGACAGAAGCCAGGGTTTGGGTGGCTTCTTTTGGCGTGCTTTTCCGGGTGGGAGCTCGCTTCCCAGCTTGGGGGAGGGGGGCCCCTGCAGAGCCAGGTTTTTCAGTAGAGAAATTAGCATCTTGCCTGTTGCAGGAAGAATAAACAAGTTTAAGAAGTCCTCAGTGCCTAAGCACACACCATTCAAGCCAACCTTGGTCTGCTTTTAAGCAGAACCCCCATATTGGGAGGCTTGCTTCTTAATTGGAAGAAATACACCAAGATCATTGTTGGGGAGGGGGTGGTCCCCATCTAGGAACGCACAAATAGTTGGCCCTACCTTAGAAGCACTCTTCCATATAAACTACCTGATTGTGAAAGTCAGTTGCCTACCCCCACCCCCTGCGCCACTCAGCTCCCTTCCCCCACCCTCCATCCCCCTCCACCCCCTCTCTCTACCCCTTCCCTCCACCCCCATTTCAGAGTGGAAAAGCCACTGGGGACTCTACAGAATAACTGAGGAAACGCAGTTTCTATGCCAAACTCCTAGGAAGTGCCCTGGACCCACCCAAGGATGGGATTTTACTGCATAGACAACTTCAAACCCTCTCTCTACCTGAGACACTGGTGCTACACTGCCTTTTTTTTTTTTTTTTTAATCCCCAGAGGCATTTCTGGCAAATTCTCCCAAGCATTCCCAACTCACTAGTCTCCAAACTGGCCCTTTGTCTCACCCTGCTAAATTGGGGTTAGCATTTGAATGGGCTCACTTGCCCTTTCAATTTAGGTGGGGTGTGTCTGGTGAGGAAATTCACTCAAAAAAACAACCACACCGCAACCAAACCAGACTTTCTAGTTGACCACATAAGTGATTTACTAGCTGGTTGTAGTATCTCATGTGGAGAGGGGGAGGAGAATAAAGCTAGTTAAAGGTGATGGTGTGCTCTGGCATTTAGGATTTTCCTTTACTACATTAATCATTTACTTACTAGAAATTTCCTTTTTCTTGGACAAAGGTCTTCTTATAACTGAACTTTTTGAGTTGGAAAGTCATAGCAGTGTTCAAATATTGTGTGCTGTCAGCCAGCTGGTGTAGGTTTACTTTTACTAAAGTTTGGCAAACTAAACTTTTATGTTTATCAGAATTCAAGAACTGGGAATTTTAAAGTTTGGAACTGTTTTAGGAGGATGTTTCTATAATTCGCTAGAGGCTGTTTTTTCACACACCCCCCCCCCGGAAATGCTTACAGCCCTTTACTCTTTAGCCTTCACTTCTAGCAGCTGGGATTGAAGATTTCATGAGGGAGCTGAAACTTCAGCGTGGGTAAGAATGAGGTCTTTTCCTTTGTTTTAATAATCTGAATGGATTTTACTTAATTTACCTGTGTTATCACAGCTCCTCATGCAGAGGGAAGCTATTGAGAGGAAACTGAGCAGAAACCATGGCGTTGGGGAAAGTATGTATCTTAACAGAAAGGTGACCTATAACAAAAAAACAAATTACTAAAATCAAATTAAGCTTCCAGAGGCAAGTGATGTCATATGCCAGCCCCAGTGCTGCCCTTCTCTTAGACATTGCCCAGCAAAAGGGATGAGGTCCTCAAATTCCATCTTTAATCCTCATGTTCCAGAATGGGGGATGGAATTTCTCGTCCTGCTCTCGGGGGTTTTGACATTAATGACTATTTCCTAAGTCTGGATGCCCCAGGGATGGACAGCAGGACCTAAGAATCTTCTAGGCCTCGTCCTGCCCAGTGGCCTTGGGTCAGACCCAGCACCTTACTGCCTCCATTTCTTCAATGAAAATGAAGTATGTTCCCATCATTCCCTTCAGCTCCAAATGCGTGCAGGTTGATTAAGCCCAGGGTTGCCCAATTTGACTCTACCCATGATTTTAACACTAATGGAACAAAAAAAGGTTTTCAAGGTTAATCAAATAAAAAGCACCAGTTGTGAAGAAATCTGTTTTGTGTTGTTCCAATTTCCATTTTATCCAGTCTTTTTGAATGGGTGGCAAAAAAAAATTTTTTTTAAAAGGCAAGTTAGAGAATACAGAATTCCACTGTGTCTTGTTACTAGCCTGGGGGGAGGGGAACTGGCCATCCTTGAGCAGATCTATAGTGTGTGTCTTCTGTGTGCCCGTTTCCCTCACCTCTCCCTGATGGTGTGCGAAAACAAGCTTTTCTGAGTGGGAGCAGGCAGCCTGAAGCCAGCATTGCACTGAGTACTGCAGCCTGGAGATGCTCACAGCTCTGGGAGCAAGCAGTCTGACAGCAACGTTAGCTAACCGACCACAAGTGTTGAATATATTATTTGGTAACACTTGTAAGTGTCCTGATTAGGCCAGACCTGCAAACATGGCTGGGAGGCTGCAGTGAGTTTGGATAACCAGCGTCCTCGGCCTTTGTTTCTATTACCCTTCCCTCCCAGGAGCTTTTTCAGACTTTTTTTCTTAATTGCTCCTCCCATGAAATTTTAATACCACAATTCTAGAGATGTATCTGTTTCTATACTGCAAGACCTTGTGAGAGCTAAGATTTTTTTTTTTTTTTTTTTGCATTTCCTCCTAAACCAATTTCCCCCTGTTGCAAATGCGTGGGATAACAATGCAAATGAAAAAAAAAAAAACCAGTCAAATCAATGATTTAACATCCCATTTTTGTTTTGTTTTGGCTATATATCACAAGGCTACATATAAGGTAAATTTTTGCTGTTTGGTTTTCCCTTTTTAAAAATCTTACCTCCCACTCCCAGCTCCACATCCCCTGGCACTGGTCCTGGTGCTAGGTCCTAGCTAATTCAGAGCAGAGGAGCCAGAGTGAACAGCCTACTGACTTAGATTCTCCCCAAGGCCAAGAGTCTGCAGTGCAGGGCTACCGTCACCTGTTGACAGCGCTCAGCCAGTAAGGCAGGACATCCAAGAAGAGCTGGCGCCGTGGCACCACCCCCCCACACACACACACACTCCCTTGCCACTGCCGGCGGTGGCAAACTCTCTATTGCAAGGTAGAATTGGGGAGGCTGCCTTCCTGGCTTCGCCTGTGGACAGGGCCTATTTTTACTCTATGAGCTTATCTTAGGGCGAGCATGCTGCAGATGAACAGAGGGGCATGGCCATCAGAAACGCCAGGGTAAGACTAGACTACATGCACAGATGGTACGTGGTATCTGTAATGTGCAGGAAGAGTTGAGAACAGAGGGAAAGGAGTGTTTGGGGGGAATCACAGAAAACACTGGAAGACAAAGACAAGAACACTGGAAAAGGAAGGGAAGATACTATCTGGAACTAGGAGTCACAGAGCCCGTAATATTAGGGCTATTTAGAGTCTTATGAAGAAATAGAGATTCAGGGAGAAAAAGGTTTAGGGGAGACTTCATGGCCATCTTCAAAAATCTGGTGGCAGCAGAAGTAACGTCAGGAAGAGCATTTTTAACAGCCACACCTGCTGTAGAAGAGCACCCTGGGGACTACAGATTAGGCACGCGGAAGGCCAGAAATTTCAATTTCATAGGTGCAGCGGGGGTTTTGTACATTTGCCCCAACGGCATCCGCCCAACAGAAAGATTTAAAACCTAGGAAACATTGTTTTTAGAGTTTAAATGCTAAATCTTGGATTTCAGTTCAGGGAGAGGCCCCAACTCTCAAACTGGCCAAGGACTGCCGCCAGCTGAAGACAACCAGTTTCTCCTCCCCGCCCCACCCCCAGGCGAGAGCCGGCTCTGAGTGCCCTGGCTTATGTTGCTGTCTGTATCTGAGCTCAGGGGGAGGATGCGCTCTGGGAAATTGAGGCCAGGCGCAAACATGAAATATACCATTTCCCCTTACATTCAAATTATGGTGCCCGGCTGCCCCCAGGGTGCCTGGAGTTTCCACCACGATTACTGAAATCTTAAACAGAGCTTCCACTAAAGCCAAATCTCTCTTCTGAGATTCCCTCTTGCCCTTCTCGCGCCCCTCCCTACCCCCCCCCGCTTTTACCCCCCATTTAGTCCCCCTTCTCCGGGCACTGTTCATCTTTTCTGGAATGGCCACTCCCCTCCAGGTTCTCTGCTGCATCATTGGCTAGCTTAAAGGAGGAGTCCACAGCCCAGGCCCAGCAACTGTCGAGAAGGCATGGACCCACCATACCAGCGCGAGTGGTCAGGGGACAGACATGTGCCTGGCTGCAGCAGGAACGGGTAGCCCTTCCAAGTGGAGGGCTGCTGAGTTTAGCAAGTGAGCTGAATGAAGGGGTCTGAATTCCTGGTAGGAGACCCTCAGCCCCCAGGGCTCCAGCACGGGGCTTTTTAATCTGAGCATATGGAGTAGATCAGCCCTGCACCTGCTCCTAACCTCCATTTGAGGCATTTTCTCTTCAGCTGGCATTTGCCTGAAACAGCCTGGTCACGCAGACCCTTCTGCCGACAGCAGTAGGCTGCTGCTGCCTCCACCGGCCAAGGCTGGCAGAGGAGATGCTGGAAGGTAGAAGGATGGGCACAGCAAGTCTTAATTGAACAGTAATTAACTGAACAGCTTCAAAGTCTTATGGCTACTCACTCAGTCAGCACTCAAAAAACATTTGTCACTGGGAGGTTGAGAAACGGAATAGTTGCCTGAATTCTCTTCCCAGGTTCTCTCCTTTCTGTCCCCCTCCCCGCCACAACTGGTACAAAGATTCTCCTTTTCCTCCTTTGAAAGCAAGCCACTGACAACAAGTGACAGAGGTGGTCTGCAGAGCCAGCTCTTGTGCAAATGGCCCCCACCCCCACCACAGGCTAGGACGGAATGCTACTGCCAGAAAAGGAACGTTTTTCCTAGGTTTCTGCTCTCTTCCCTCTCGACCATCCCCTTCTCTGTCTGCTTTGCTTTTTCTTTCTTGGATACAGGGATGAACTAAGGAAGAAAATTGACAGGCAGCTACTTAAAAACTTGGATGTGTCTGGTGCTTTAGGCAATGAATAAGAATCCCCCAAATGTAAGTATCCCAGTGGCCGTTTGCTGACTGCAGTGCGTGCTAGTGGGGCAGCATCAACAGAGCAGGAAGATTGAGTTTGGGAAGCCTAGGGCACCACACGGGGTCACCAAGGAAGGGGGCCACGTCCCTGCAGATGGCAAGGGTGCTGCTCGGAGAGCCAACAGTGCAGAAATACTTTCTTCCTATTGGGGATTACTCATTTGCAAAAAGCCGGCAGATAGTCCACCTAAGGCACCTGCCATTTGGCGAACAGGCCGACCATCCTCAGAAATGCACTTTTACTGAACCATGAGTGGTGTCTGCTGTTCCTTTCTCCATTGTAGTGTAGAAGACATATTCTTTTTAAGTAGCTAAAGATACACAATTTCCCAGAAACCTTCGCCTAGACTTTGACAGCCAATCCTTCCCTTCCCTGACGGGTATACCATCTTGCCGCACTCCCTGTGGGAACAGGGCCCAGACCCTGGCACATAGCTTCTGCCCTTCACCTCAACTCCCCCCTCCTCTCAGGCACCCCGACTAGCCCGTCTTGCCTCTTCCTGTCATCCGCGTGAACTCATTAACCCACTTGCCTTCCTCGTTCCTGCTTCTTCCTGTCAAATAGTGGCCTCTTTCCCTGATAGAAATGATCCAGAAGTGGCAATCTGGACTAGGCTGCCCACCACACCTGTAACTGGCCATCTCCATCCAGGGCAAGGCCACATTTCTGTCTTGAGCCGAAAAGCTTGCCAAGTCCTTGGTAGGCTGGCCAGACAGCCCCACCAATGACCGCAGCCCCCAGACAACCCTCCCACTCATTGCCCCCAGTGCTCACCACACCGGGCTCCTCAGGTCCCTGTGGCCAGGTGCACCAGCTGCCTTTCAGCCAGCTCCTCAAACATCTGGCTGTACTTCTGAGGTGTCCCAGGTCCCACTGCTCATCTGTGATGGTTTCTGCTTTGAACCCCCTCACATAAGTGATTTGGGGTTTTTAGACTCTGGTGGCCAATGCCTACAGAAAATAAATAAGTAAATAAGTAAGAGTAGACAAAATGGGGAACACTGGAGTTAAATAGTGGGGTTTTTCTTCTTCGCAGTCCCAATTTACCTTTAAATTAAGATGATTCCTACTCAGGTCTAAGGGTCCTTTCTCAGCCTCTAGCCATGGTTTCATCCGGGGGCGGTTTTGCCCCCCAGAGGATATTTGGCAAAATCCACAGACATTTTTGGTTGCTACAACTAAGGGGCTGCTACTGGCATCTAGTGGGTAGAGGCCAGGGATGCTGCTAACACCCTCAAGCGCCCAGGACAGTCCACAGCAGAGAATCAGCTGGCCCTGATGTGAACCATGCAGGGGCTCGGAAACCCCAATCTCCCTGAGGCACTCTGAGCGATTCTCAGATTCCCACCCCACCACCACCACCACCTCCAGCCTACCGCCACCTCCAGTGTACCCCCACCAGTCCTGTCCTAGCCCACTGCTCTCTTCCGAGACATCTTTCCTTTTCTGTGTTCCTATCACCCAATGTATTCCTCCCCTTTGGGGTAGTCTCTGATCCAGTGATCTCATACCCTAGAAGGATGGTTGACTTTGAACTTGGGGTCTGTACCTTCCTTCTAAACCAGACCCACCCTCTTAAATAATAGGCCATGAAAAACTCCTTCCCAGTTGCCCACCCTTCCTTCACCTCTGCCCAGTCTAAAACCAAATGGGCTCCGCTACCACCCAACTCCTCCCCAGATCCTCTGGGCTTCCCTGTGTCACTTGTGTCCCATCATCCAAGTGCCATACTTTGGCTTCTCCACCTTTGGTGATGTTCTGTCACAGAAGCTGCTAGAGGGCCCTTTGGATCCCTCTAGAGCCCCTTCCTTCAGCCTTCCTGCTTCCTTCCATGCGTGTGGTTCTCCACATCTTAAAGGTCATGACCAGCCACAGCTTCCTGTGTTCTCTCCATCAGGATTATCCTCCACACCACCTCCATCTTTACTAAAACTAGGCTCAAAGCCTCACTCGCAGGACAAAAAACACTCAACATCTCCATTTCCCACCAAAACAGCCTCAAAAGTGCTTGTCCTGGAGTTTCCTAGTATCCCCAGAGAGATCCCATCCAGTTGGTCCTGCTTTCACTCCCAGTGCCCCTCCCAGGACTCCACATGGAGTCCCTCGCTTCCCCCAACTGGGTCTTTGTTAAGGGTAGGCCCGCATCTCCCATTCCCTCCATTCCTCCCATTCTTCCCATTCCTCCCAATTGTAGGCGGCGGCCCTACCCATCCATGCAGGCCCGTCTGAACCGCCACCATGTTCCCCATCAAGACTTCCAAGAGTCCTCCACCCCCACCCCCGGGAGTCATCTTTCATTTTTGTGTTCCCGCTCCTTTAGGATGGAGGACTGGTATCTACCCAGCCTTTATCCCCTCAATGCATGTGTTCTCCAGGCCAAGGACCAAGACACCAAAGAGTGTTGGAACAAAAAGGTCCCCCATGCCCATGAGGATGTCAAACAAAGAGACCCTGTGCCCATTCCTTGATGAGCAGTGCTTGAGGACAGAGCCCAAGCGCAGTGGGGCTGGGGGAGGGGGGGCACACCCCGTCCCTTGGGGCTGCAGACCCCAATGTCTACTGACCTTCTAGCTCGGCAGGGCGCAGCATCCCAGGGGCCTCAGGTCCTTAGGCGTCTGGGCCCCTCCTGTGCATCAGGGCCTTGGCCCTCTACCAACAGGCCCTAGACATTTTCTTCCTCCTCGCCTGGCCTCAGCGGCGGTCCCCTCGGGAGGGTGGGTTTGCCCATCGAGCCCTAGGGTTGTCTCCTGGTAGGCCCTGACCTTCCCTTCCAGCCTTGGCGACTTGTGGCTTCGGGAAGAGTGACCCCACGGCGCCAGTGAGCCTCGTGGCGTCCCAGGCCTGGCCGCCATACGCACGCCCACCAACCGCTTCCAACCACCCCAGCAGCACAACCTCTTGGGGCGTTCCAACGCGGCGCCCCCTATTGGACCTCCCCTTCATATCCGGTTTCCGGTCCGACGCCCCCTGCTCATTCGCCAGGCAACCTTGATTGGCGTGACCCCAGCCCAATGGCTGACCCCGCGCTGGGGTCGGAGGGGAGTGAGCTGACGGTCGCGACCCAGTTGGCCCATTCAGTGGATGCTCAAACGGCTGAGCCCTGGCGCGTGGGGATAGTTGGGCAAAGTTTGAGCCAAAGTTCAGTGTTGGCGTTTCCACGTGTGTAGACCCGCCGACCTGACATGATGCGCCTTTGGGGGACCCCACGCGTTGCCCAGAGTCCGACTTTGTCAGCTCTCCTCTGCAGCACGGCCACGTGGATGGCGGATGCGGGGCGGCAGTGGTGCGCCGTGGCTGTGGTCCCATCGTTCTAAGAGGGATGCGTTCGACTTAACGAGCTTGAGCGGTGCGTGGTTCACCCGCCCGCGGCTCGTAGATACAGCGATCCAAGCGGTGCTCCCGCTCGCCGCAGCCCACCCCTGGCGACACTCAGCCTGCGGTCTCGCGCGCCCGCCCGCCAGGCGACCACCCGCCCCGTCCCCGATGCCCCGCACCTAAAGGTGGCTCGCAGGTCCGCTTCACCCGCTGGCGAGACAGACCTCATGCCCGTGTCCCGGATCGTACGTGATCCGCAAGCAGTAATTTTTTCCCGCGGCCCCAATCCCTCGGCAGACACCAGCCCCCAGACCCAGAGCAGTGCGCGCGCCCCAAGCCCACCTAGAGGGCTGGCATTCTCCCCAGCCGGCTCCAAACCCCCGCGAGCTTCGGCGACCGGAGCGCAGCCAGGCGGCCGGCGGACTTGCGGCCGGGCTCAGTGCCGCCTCTGAGGGCTCCAGTGGTGGAAAAGTGGAGCGGTGCCCTGGGATACCCGTAGCGAAGGGAGAGGGGCTGGAAGGGGGCCGGAGAGGGACTGGGGCCGCTGGCCGACCGACCCTGCAGCCGGCATCCGAGGCAGATAAGCGGCACGTTCTAGCCGCTGCCGCCGGCGCGGCACGGTTGTCTGTCTTCGGGTTCGGTGCGCACAGGGCTGTCCGGTCTCTGAGACCACGCTAAGCCGGCCGTAAATCCCCACCGAAATCCCCTTCGCCCTTCCCCCAGAACAGTGGGACCCCCGGAACTCTGAGGCCTGCACGGGATGGGGTCTCCTTGTGCGTCCCGCCCCCCCCCCCCCAGTTCTGTGCCGGGCGACTACCGCTTGGAGGGTCTCCGTGGGGCGCGCCCAAGACCCTCTTAATTCCTCTGCATCATCATCCACATAACCAGGGGAGACCCTTGCTCGCGCCACCCTACACTGCTGCGAGGACCCCCACAGTGTGGTGGGGATGGGGGACATTGAAGTGCTTTAGGGGGAGCCAGCCTCGGCGAGCCGGCAGACAAAAGCTGCAGAAGCGGCGGAAAGTACCCCAAGGCATTTTAAAAACAAATTATGTGCGCACACACCGCAGCCCCTTGCCCCTCGCCTGCGGTCCGCTGCGCTGGTGGGCTCACGACCACCTGTCGCATCCCTGCGCGCGCCGCGCCCCCTTCCCACGCGCCCAAAGCCTCACACTCCGGACTTGGAGCTTAAGGTGGGGGGCTGCCCGGGTCTGGGGGCTGCGGCTCAGGGGTGCAGGGGTATCCTGGGGTGATGAAACCCTCCTGCAGTTCCCCCCTCCCCCCAAGGAGAGTCATTTAGGTCTGGGAGGGAGGGTTTCAGCTCCTGCGCTCGAGCAGCCCGGGGCCCACGTCTTGCGTCACGTGTCCCGCAACGCAGGAGAGCTCTCTCTCTCTGGCCAGGGGATAAGAGAGGAGAAAGACTCCAAATCAGTCAGGGAGAGGAGTGGAAGGAGCCAAAACATCCCTGCGAGGCCTGCGCTCCTCAGCCCCCTTACCCAAAGTCCGGGGCTGCCGGCGCCAGGATCCGGCTCCCGGAGCCGCCTCGGCCCGGGGCCGGCGTCCTCTGGTGGCAGCGAGCGAACACTACGAGCGATTTTCGGACCGAATCGGCACGCTCCTCAGATCCAAGCAGGCGGGGCTGGCCTGGAGCAGAGAGAGAGAGAGAGAGAGAGGGAGGAGGGGACAAGGACAGGCCAAGGGGGGGGGCGGCCCAGGGGCCAGCCTGAAGGGATAAAAAGTGGCCAGGAAGGACCAAGACTCCACCAGCAACGGTAGAGTTGCTTCCGCCACCATCTTGGGTTTGAGGCCCTGAACCCCCAGACCTCAAGGGGGTTGAAAAGTGAGGCTGGAGAACTTTCCAGCCGCTACTTTTAATTTTTTTGAAAAAAAATTTTTTCACCCTAGTTCGGTTGGGTGCTCCGTGTTACGGGGCCCCAAGTTTATTTTAAGAGGCCGCCACCGTGTTATGGGCGTGCGCAACTGCCTCGACGGCAATAATATGTCAGGACAACGCGATATCCCCCTTGAACTCGGGGAACAGCCCGAGCAACCATCTTTGGAGGCCCCAGGGGCAGCTGCCCCCAGTCCTGGGCCTGGCGCAGCCGAAGAGATGGAGACCCAACCGCCTCACAGCGAGCCCGTCCCCGTCGAGACTGAAGGCGAGGCCTGTGGACCCCCAGAGGTCTCCAGGCCCAACTTCCAAGACCTGGGCGAGACTGTCAAGGAAGCCGGAGCCCATGGAGCCTACAGCCCACCACCTGAGGAAGCCATGCCCTTCGAGGTCGAGCAGCCCAGCTCAGGAGGCTTCTGGCCTACCCCGGAGCAGCCTGGAGACACCACTGGGGCCCATGCAGGCCTTCAGGTCTCCCGCCCATCGCTTATGGAGCCCGGAGCCTTCGATGATGCCAGACCAGGCCTGGGAGGCTACAGCCCTCCACCTGAGGAAGCCATGCCCTTTGAGTTTGAGCAGCCTGCACAGGGAGGTTGCAACCAGCCTCCCCTGCAGGTCTCAGACCTGGCTCCAGGAGGCCCAGGTGCAGGGGTCTATACCACCCCTCCCCAGGAGCCCCGGGCTCTCAAACCTGCAAACGCAGGCTTCAGAGGAGACAGGAGCCCTCCCCCTGAGGAGGCTATGCCATTTGAGTTTGATGGAGCAGCCTTCGGGGACGACAGCCCACCCCCCGGGCTCCCCCGAGCTATCCCACAAATCGACGGCGGCGGCGGTGGCGGCGGCGAGTCCGCGGCAGCCGCGGTCCCGAGTGCGGTCCTCCTCGCTCCCGCCGCGAACGAGCCCCCCCTCTGGGTCCCAGGCGCCATCGGCAGCCCATCCCGAGAGGCTGTCAGACCTCCTCCACACTTCGCGGGCGACAGCCCCCCGATGGAGATCTCCGGACCCCCGCTCGAGATTGGCAGCGCCCCCGTTGGGGTCGACGACGCTCCCGTCAACATGGACAGCCCCCCAATCGCGCTTGACGGCCCGCCCATCGAGGTCTCCCGAGCCCCAGTTAAGAGAGCGCGAGCAGAGGGAGAGAGACCCCCAGTTGAGGGAGAAGCAGCCGAGATGGAAGGAGGCTCGGCCGCCGCTGCTGCGGAGGGAGGAAAAGTCTCCTCTCCGGGGGACGGAGCCCCTGCCGCCCGGGCCAAGCCTGCTTCTCCAGCCGCCGGGGCAGCCGCTGCCGCCCCTGACGCTCCAGCCGCCGGGGCAGCCGCTGCCGCCCCTGACGCTCCAGCCGCCCCTGACGCTCCAGCCGCCGGGGCAGCCGCTCCTGCCGCCCGGGCAGCTCCTGCCGCCGGGGCAGCCGCTCCTGCCACCCGGGCCGCTCCTGCCTCCCGGGCCGCCCCTGCCGCCCCTGCCGCCCCTGCCGCCCCTGCGTCTGGAGCCCGACCCAAGCTCCGCTTCCTTAGACCCCCCAGCCCCGAGATCCAGGCTGCCGATCCGCCTACTCCGCAGCCTCCTCGCGCATTTGCCTGGCGGGGCAGGTCTGGCCGCAGCCGCGACGACGACGAGGGGTCGGTCAGCAGCGACGACGACCACAGCAGCGATGAGTCCGACGATGGGACCTCCGGATGCCGCCGCTGGCTGCAGCCCCGGCGAAACCGCCGCCGCCGAAAGCCCCGGCGCAACTTGCTCCGCAACTTCCTCCTGCAGGCCTTCGGGGGCTGCTTCGGCCGAGCTGAGAGCCCCCAGCCCAAAGCCGCGCACAGCCCCAAGGTCAAGAAGATTCCTCTGGCGGAGAAGCGCAGACAGATGCGCAAGGAAGCCCTGGAGAAGCGCGCCCAGAAGCGCGCAGAGAAGAAACGCAGCAAGCTCATCGACAAGCAACTCCAGGAAGAAAAGATGGGGTACATGTGTACGCACCGCCTGCTGCTTCTAGGTAATGCGGCGGACTCTGCCCGCGGGGAGCAGGGCCGCCGGGGGGCCCCGGGCGCGGGTGGCAGGGCTGCCCGGTGGAGCTCAGGGCCTGGCAGCGGGAGGAGGGGGGCCAGGCCCAGGCGGGAAGACACTGCGAGAAAGTTCCAGTGAGGGGCCCCAACTTTGCCCTGGGAGCGGGAGGGGGCCTCGGTTGGGCTTGGGTGGCCGAAGTATGTGCCCTCCAGGGAGAAAAGTGGTGCCGAGCAACACTGAGGGTCGTTTCCGGCTGGACAAGCCAGCGCCAGCGACCGTAAGATGCCCCCGAGCCCAGGGGTGGGGGCCGGCAAGGAAGGCGGGGGTTCAGGTGAGCCAGGAACGGCCGGGGAGGGGCCCCGGGGCTCCCCAGGCCAGGCCGGTTGGGGCCGCGGTGGGCTGGGGTCGTTGGGGAAGGTGCGCCCCCGCCTCGCCTGGCACTGCTGCTTGGGTCAGACAGCTGCTCGTTGGTGTGTGTCGGTGTCCATATTGTGTCCGCCTGTGCATGATCCGCTCAAGTGCCCCCCGACCCCCGCCCCTGGCACCCCAGGTTACCCGCCGACTGTGTACTCGTACCGGGGAACGGGCTGTCTTGTGGTTTGCGCCTTGGCGCGGGCAAAAACTTTCCGTGTTTGCACACTCTGGTGGTACCTGTGCGCTGGCGCTCTGCAGCGGGCGGCGCGAAGAATGCGCAGGAGAAGGTGGTGGGACGTCTCGGGGAGCGTGCTGGGTCCCTGGCGCGGGGGAGAGGCGGCCGCCCCTCGTCGGCCTGCGTAACCTTTTCTCTGTATGTCTTTCTCTCTTTTTTCCCTTTGCGCTAAGCGTTTCCTCACTTCTCATTCGTTCGCCAAACCCTCCCGCCTTTACGGTTGAAAAACCAGACACTCAGGTATCTGGGGCGCCGGGGCTGCACACCGAAGTTCAGTATTGTGCACACACTCAGCTCACCTGGTGGGGGGATGGAGGGAGGAGGGGGAGAAAAGAAAAGAAAAGCAACACCTCACTTAACCTGCCGCGGGCAGGTCTGGATCCACACCTACACGGGGCTGGTTCCAAGAGGGTGGGCGTGGCTGTGTTTAAAAAATATGAAATGATTTTTTTCCTAGGGAAGAGCCCGAGGTAAGCCAATCATTTACGCTATTACAGAGAGTACAGGAGGAGGGGCTTGGTTTAAAAAGAGGGTTCTGCGTTGGGAGTGGAATGCTGTCTTGTTCTTCGAAATGCAATTAAAATAAAAACATTTTAAAAATGTTTCCAGTGTATTTTAAGTATGTGGACGAAACGTGGTAAAAATGTGACTCTGACTTGTGAAATATGTAAATGTTTGCATGTGAATCTTTTCAAGCAGCTTTAGCTGGGGGCAGAGAGGATCAAAGGTAAGATCCTCTGCGCACGGACTTGGGATACCAAGAAATTAAAAAGGTCTTGTGTTCATAACCGTATCTGGTACGTTTGGCGGCCCTCCGCCTTACCCCCCTCCTCTCTTCATCTTTCTCACCTTTGAGAGCCCCACCCCCACCCTCTGTCTGGGAGTCTCTCCCCCCCCTCACACACACACACACACACACACAAGTCCCTCCCTCACCCCATCCCTACCTCAGTGGTCCTTCCCACTCCCCCCCCCACTGCCCCTGCTCCACCCTCACCTTAGCTCCCATCTGAGGCTTTGGCTTCTTGTGCCACAGTCCATCAAATTAGCAGCAATTAGCAAGGGTCTAAATGTGTGGCTTGAATGAAGATTTCAAAAGTGAAACTCCACAATCTTAATTTCTCTATTTTATTCTCTAACATCTTTCAAGGGATTTAAAGATCACAACTTCTAAAGCTGGGCTACATTTGTTTGTTAAATATTTTATAATGTGTGACGCTTTTTTATTAATGACATTATGGACATAACTGTGTGCTTTTGTGACATGTGTGTCTTTCACAAATCACACTTTTACATATGGTGGTCACTTCAGTGACGCCCACCCAAGGAAATAATGACATCATCACTTTCCCAAACACCTATAGAAGAGAAGCAGTTTTAAATTTGGGATGTCCCAACTGTACTACAGCCAGAGCCTTAGAGGACAGTGCGCTGTTCTCCTGCAGACAACTGGCTTTGCCCTGACAGTCCCATCTCAATATTCCAAGCATAGCTCTAGGGAGCCAGCCTCTGATGGGGAGGGGACATAGTGGGTACAGACACGAAGCCAAGTGACAATGTCCGCTTGACCCCTAGTTGGCATTGTCCCTTATCTCCTGGGGTCTTGGTTGTCTCATTGTGACGTGAAGCTTTCCCAGCAGATCTCCACCACAGTCACCTTTGTTCCATGTCTTGAGTCCTCTATTGGGGGAGGAGCGGGGGAGGGGTGGAAAGCACAGTCCACTTAAGTCAGAACTGGAAGCTTAAACCATGGGTTATGCAGATGCCCACCCTGCAGCAACCTGTCCATGTCTGGGGTCAAGTCTTAAGAACAGTAGAAGTTTACCTTGCTTACCCTTGTTTTGTATCCAGGGTGCAAAATTAACCTTAATTAAATGGGATATGTCCGTCTGGGGTCGTCATCCTGACCCTGAACTAGGGCAGCCACTGTCACCTGCTGCCATAATGCGGTTTGTCGAACCAGGCTAATTTCTGACCAGGCTTCATTTGCCCAAAGTGACCAAGAGAGGCACCCCATCTGGGTCTGAGTTACTGATTGAGGAGGAGGGGGAAGAAGGATGAGGACTTGCATTTAGGACAAGACCTCTTATTAACAGTCTAACACAAAACAAGACATCCATATATTGCTACCAGTGAAAAAGGCATGTCAAAAGACCATCTTTTCATATGGTCACTAATTTGTGACATGCATATTCATCTGTTGCTTTACAACTGTGTGTGTGTAATTCTGTGTATACACTGTTTCCATTTTTATTGCCCAAACAGTTTAACCACATTACAGGGAATTTTTTTTAAGAAGATAGATAGATAATCAATAACATGACTAAAATTTTACAGTGTGTAAGAGATGAAGCCTTTTTCTTATTTGACACTATCAGTAATAGACTTAAGTATTCCCATGTTTTTGGAAACCCAATTTGGGTATGATCCCCCTGTATTTTAAGATTTGAAGGAGATTGCAGATTAGAATTTTTTAGTATCTGCTACGTTTATTAAAAGTGTGCAGGCAAACGCTATAGATAATAATGGCCATCCTGCCATGACACTTTATTTATACAGTGAATTTCAATTAATTGTATGATAATTTATTTATGCCACCAGGTGCAACAATGATGCATTGCATCCCACTTCGTGCAGGAGCGCCTTTTTTTTTTTCTTCTTCTTCTTTAGTACAGCCATTTTTCCGTATTCAGAATGCCTCCACTGAGCTGTTTGGTGCAGTGAGAAGGGCATAGCTTATCAGGCCACCAAATCTTTAGAATTAAGAGAGACTTTTATGATTTTCCCTCTGTCTCCCAGTAGTATTTTATGCTTCTCGAAACCCAAAATTCTTCCTTGCCTTTTAAAATCCAATTTCCCATAGATTTCTCTCTCTCTCAAAAAAAGTTTTCTATATAAGTAGGTCCATTTTTGTAATTTACCCACATTGTGTATATCATGGGAAATTGGTATTAGGCAAAGAAAAGTGGGGTCCTTGGGCTTTTTGCATACCCCCTCCTGACTTGAAAGGGATAGTCTCACTGCCTTCAGGTATTAGTAACCAGTAACAGTGATGATCACAGATAATGATACCACATTCTTACTGTATTTTTAAAAGCCTTTCATCTAAGTCACATTTGTCCTTTGAAACAGCCTTGGGCAATAAAAATGTGGTAGGACCACATGTCATAGGCAAATAAAACCAAAAGCTCAGAGATTAAATGTCAGGGACTTTTGCTCAAAGACTGCAAGGTAAGTGAAGGAGTCAAAAGTTTCTAATTCAGATAAGACCATGCTTAACCAAAAAAATATGGTAATAGGCGATAAGGCATTATTTAAATGTAAAGCATGACTGTTGAGTGTGCTGTGTGCTCTTCAAATCCCTTGTCAAATGACAGGTGTCTAGCAGTCTTCTGCTTTCTGAAGGATAGCCAAACTCTACAGATCTCTGGTTATAAATGTCCATTGAGTGTACATGACACGTGAGCTCCCCCATTTCTGAGATACCTGTCATCACTACGGTGATATTTGGTTTCCACATTTGTTTTAACTCATCTGCCAACACCGCAGTCTTAGTTTGTTTATTGGGCTTTGTTCTCTTTTAACTGCAGGTTTCCTTTAGAATCCTCTGTGGTTTTCTTCAGTGGGGTTGAAAGCTTTCCTTACTTAGAGTCCCACTAAAAAAATAATAATAATAATAATTTACAGTAATACTAAAAAGTGTGCTTTTATGCCTCCCTCCCCTACCTTTGCAGTGTTAGAGGAGCAGACTTTTAAAATCCTGGCCTGGATCTAATAACCCTATTAAAATAACTCTTTGTTTTAATATTTTTCATAGTGATCTTTAAAAAATAAAAAGGTATTCCTTACTTTTAGTTGAGGCTTAATTCCTACTTAGCAAGACTTAATGCATAGGCTTAGGAATCACCTTTGACTTTTATACAGGAATGTTGGCATTAAGCAAAAAAAAAAAGGTATATATATATATATTTTTAAGAGAGGGTAGCTTTGTTGCCTAGATTTGAAATTCCTCATACCGTCATGCCTCTCCTTTTTTGAGTCAGTTTCCCCACCAAATAAAACTTACCCTCACCCCTAGCAAAATGTGGCACTTCCAGTGCTTCTACAGAAAGTAACTTCCAGGAGACACGGGAATAGCCTTTCATTCGATAGAATTGAAATTGGTTTCTACACTTCTTGGTTTCTTTAACTGGTGGCAAAAGGGTTCTTTCCAAACCCACCTTGTGCCTCCTGGGGTTCCTAGTGGAATGTGAAATTAACATGCCACTTGTCCATTTCAGAATCAGATTTCTAAGGAAGATGAGCCCTTTCCAAAAAGGAAGGGCAGGGCCAACTGATAG